CGTGCGTGCGTGCGTGCGTGCGTGCGTGCGTGCGTGCATACAGACATTAGTGTGCGCGTACCCGTGTGCTTGTGTCTGTATTCGTGCATGCTACATGCATACAGATACAAGTGTGACAGCGTACATACCTCTTCCCCTCGCCGTCTCTAATATCACCTCTCCCGCTGCCACCTCACGATGACAGGAGTCGTGACGGAGGTGATTATGAAGGTGCGACCACGGCCTCCGTGTCAGAAGTATGGCTCAGTGGTGTTCTCCGGCTTCGAGACGGGCGTGGCCTGCCTGAGGGAGGTTGCCAGGCAACGCTGCGCACCCGCCTCCATCCGCCTCGTCGACAACGAACAGTTCATCTTCGGTGAGTGCGATCGTGGATGCTGCGTTTAGTCTCTCGATGTGAATTTGATGATTATAACGAGGTATTTTTTGCGCTCTGGCCGATGTCGTCTGAATGTGTGTTAGTGTTATTAATTGCTGATTCTTTATCTGATGTGCGATTAAAAACCTTAAAATCATAAACTTTTTAAATTGTAAACATGTAGCCCAATATGAGGTATATAGTAGTATCACGCTAGATGAAACTGAGTAAGAGTAAAATGTATTACGAATACGTGTTACAAATTGCTAATTCTTTATCTGATGTGCGATTAAAAATGTAAATCATGAATATGGTAGTCTGATAGTGTAGGTGTAACGGAGTAATAGTACAACCAAATTCACCGCTAGTGTAGCAATGTCTAATGTTGCGGATTTCTCTTCAGGACAAGCTCTCAAACCAGAGGTAAACTCGATTATACAGTCGTTTGTTGACGGCATAAAAAAGATCTACTTAACGAAGTGGAAAGGCTTCGATCCGAAACAAATGTGCGTCGCAACGCTACTGTTCGAGGGAACCCACAAGGTGGGTGAATTGTTTCACGGAATCTTCTATCGTTTATTCGTTCTATTCGTTCTTTCTTCAGTCGTAAACAACTGGTTCAGTGGGCATATCTCTTGAGGGGTTCAATGTCCCTTTCTTTTAATTTTTAGGATGTGGAAGTGCAAGAGAAAAAAGTGTATGAAATTGCTTCTATGTTTGGGTGAGTGGATTAATGTGGATTCTTGTTTTATGTCATCGGGTGTTGTATATATATATCACATATATTCATTGACATGACAAGATGTAAATCATACATCCTGCACATCATGGAGTCATTGAGTTCAATTATATCATTGATAATTGCAAACGTCATATACCTGAATAATATGAAGTGCTGTAATTTGAAATTGTTAAAATTGTGAAACAAAAGGTGTGAACCACAGTTTCTCAGTGTACACGATGGAGACGTTACAGTTAATTAAAACCTTTTAACAACTACCCCATAAAGATTTTTGTGGCCAATCGCCTTCTATCTACCTTGGTACCTTACCTTATCTTACAATTACTAGTGTGTTTACATACCATATTGTGGACATGGGTATGTGGTGAATCTATTTTATGCAACACACTTGTGTTTTTTATGCTTTATTGCACTTTATTACACTTTATGCAAAATGTTTTTAATTCTCGACTCGCAACTGTTCTTTTTCAGGGGACTGCCAGCAGGCGAGGAAAATGGGCAGAGAGGCTATGACTTGACCTTTCTCATCGCCTACATAAGGGTAAGGCCTACGCGATATATACTTGCACATTTATTTTTCATCGTAAGCCCCGTTTTCATAATCGTATTTCCGGGAGAGTGGCGTAAAAGTTGTTTAAATTGGTGTGTTTTTTTTCAGGATCTCGGCTTTCACTACGGCGTGATCTCGGAGTCGTTTGAGACGAGCGTTCCATGGGACAGGGTCGTTGACCTCTGCCGTAATGTCAAGGACAGACTGCACAGGGAATGCAAGGCTAGGGGCATTCCACATCCACCTTTCGCTTCGTGCAGGTAGTGTGAGATAACCGTTGAGAGGAGGAAGAGAGGTGAAGAAGTAGGGAACGATGAAAATAATCATGAGACGGATGAGGGAAAGAGTGAGAAGGATAGTGGGTGCGCGAGGGAGGGATAGGGAGAGCGAGGGGGTACACAGGAAAATTATGTAAGAGAAGAATCTTGATGTATAAGATAAAGTTGTGGTAATGTCTATAGGTGTAGTCATGCCCTGCCTAAATCCCTGCAACCGACAAGCAAAACGTGCATTTTCCTTTCAGAGTTACGCAGCTGTACGATGCAGGTGCTTGTGTTTACTTCTACTTTGCTTTCTGCATTCGTGGCCTCGCTAATCCAGTAAGCGTCTATGAGGAGATAGAGGTATGTCGAGATTCTACGTAATAAAATCTTTGCGAAACCGCAAAATTTTCGAGAGTAAGATGTGATTGCGTTTAACCCAAGACGTTTGCATAACGATGATATTTCGGTTTTTTATTTTATTTTGGTAATTCTGTCAACATGGTCAAGGTGGAAGCTTCGGTTAGTTTTAACCAGCGCTGCTCGTTTTTCAGACTGCTGCAAGAGACGAGATTTTGGCTTGTGGAGGCAGCATTTCCCATCATCATGGCGGTAAGTTAGTACGTGAGCTGGTGAGCATGTCTGTGAATACACTACGTCTAATCCTCTTCCTTCAACACTTTTCAAGATCCTCGACTTTGTGATTATGGCCACAAGAAAAATTATAACTCGCTAAAGTTATCTTACTACCTAGCAGTACGTAGATGCACGATAATCGTTCTCGAATTCAAAGAGTCTCCACAGTCCGACCAGCGTGCCTACATAAACATTAGGTTAGCATACCAGCCACCCGGTGGCGCCACGCATCAATCTTTGTAGTACAAGTATTGCAGCGTTTGTCGCGGGCCATATTAAGATATTTCTCCGCGCGTCGGTATTTAAATAGTAATCCGAACTTTTATTACTTCGAGCAAGGTATAACAACGTGCTTATCACAATGGCATCCAACAGAAGGGGATATAGTTCATATCGTTGACATCATATCAATACGCCTAAGACGATCATATTGTATCGTATAAGAGGATCGTATTGTATCGTATAAGAGGATCGTATTGTATCGTATAAGAGGATCGTATTGTATCGTATAAGAGGATTGTATTGTATCGTATAAGAGGATCGTATTGTATTGTATTAGAGGATCGTATTGTATCGTATAAGAGGATCGTATTGTATCATATCAGAGAATCGTATTGTATCGTATAAGAGGATCGTATTGTATCGTATGTGAGTATGACAACCAAGTAGTATAGCAAGTGGTTCTTATGGGTACATAATGCTACACCACATGTGTCGCATGGTAACTGTCGTTGTTTCAGTCGGCAAGCTGAGGCAGAGGTGGCTAGCGCAGACGGTCTCCGGCGCCGGACTAGGTCTGCTGAGGGCTGTCAAGCAACACCTGGATCCCCAGAACATCTTCGGTTCCGGAAACTTGCTCGGCGCCGCCGCCGCCGCCGGACCCGCGTCGAAACTGTGATGCGATCGCTGCTGACGCTGCGCTACGGTAGCGCCACCTGTGAGCCTCGTCGTGGGGCCGCGGGACGTCGCGCTTCGTGCATAGATCGATTAACGAGTGTGCGGATTTCGAGTCGACGCGTGCAGAGTTCGATGACTTTTTGCAATTTTTTTAATTTTTGCAATGTTGATGTTGCCGATGGCACGTGCTGTGTGTCTGTGCTTTTGATTTAGCGTGTACGCGAAACATCACGCTAGTTAGAGCGCTAGAATTTCTTTTGTTTATGGACAGCTTCAGTTGTGTTGCGGACTAGGATGCACATCAGTGCTTACTTTGTGTGTTTATGCCGTCATAAGTTGATGTGGTTATACACCAGATGGCAGCAGCTGATGTTGCCGTGCAGAAATTTTGTTGAAGCCACGTGAAAGGTTATTGTCTTTTGCCTAGCTTACGGTGTGCCAATTTCTTACGAAATAATTTCTGCTAACTTGAGTAGTTGTGTGCTTGGCATAGATACGGGTGGTAGGTGCATGAGTTCTGAACTGCCTAAATAATGGCTTGATGCTGAATTAGTACATTTAGCCCGAAATCTGCTTCTGTGATGCTACTTTGTGATATAAGGACTATCGTGAAGGTAACCGGTTGTTCAGCTTGTGCAAAAATTCTGTGAAATCTGTGGGAAGTAAAACCTTTCCCCACCAATCCAGCTCTTCTAGTGGATTTAAAAAAACCATTCGTTTAAAACAGAGTGGCATTGAATAAAATATTTATTTACGTACATGATTTGCTTGAATAATAAATAATCAAAAACTATCATGATATGATCCTAAGGAGCAATTGGTAATGAAATACCAATTTAGGAGTTGTTGATCAAAGATATCTGATCTCCCATGCTACATATATGTAACTAGAAATAACATGCTTGCTTTGCATTTCCAGGTGTTATATATATTCAGCATTTAGTCGTTTGAAAGCATTTTCCTTTTACATTATTATTTCTCATTTATTTTATGTGCTTTTATACTATTTTAGTAAAAAAAATTAATATATCATGACAGTATAAATATAAAAACGAGATAGAACTGAGCAAAGCTCTGTCATCAGAGAGAAACAGTGTGCTGTGTGTGGTCAGTATAGTGTTTATTTGTTACTTCCTTGAACGTGTGTAAGAGTTTATTACAATTTTGATGAAATACTTTACGGTCGTGTTCATAGCTGTATTCTCATAATCTTCAACAACAGAGGTGCGTGTTAGTTCCGAGTAGAGAATATGAAGTATCCATAATCAAAGGCGTCGGAAGCAATAAAATAGTGCCGCGGCTTTGGTGATAGGGCGAGCCCCGGGAAGGCGAAGCCACCCTAGGGGGGTCAGGGGGCATGCCCTCCCCCGTGAAAATTTTGAAATCTACAAGGCAAATGGTGGGCTCTGGTGCATTCTGAGCATTGTGATTTAGCACAAAAAAGTGTTTCACTGTAATTTTAGAAAAATACATGATGATTTAAAAGATTTGTTGCTTAACATAGAATTAAAATATTCAATAATGACCAAAAACTCAATAATAACCCAAATTTATTTTTCTCACTTTAACAGTGGAATAATCTTTGGTAAAACTTCCTGAAATACATTCCCATTCAAGACATGCATACAATTGTACTGGTGCTCACAAACGAACTGTTAATATTCGTCATGAAACGCGCTGACCCTGGGCAAAGCATGCTCCCTCAATATAACGCAACGGCATGCTGCCTGCATAGAATCAGGAGTAGACGGGGAGCAGAGGAATGTGTGCCAGAGTTCTGGATCATAAAATGTTATAGCTACAGGTGACCTGCAGGGGCGTGTACAGGATTTGGACCAGGGGGGGGGGGTCTAACCGTAAGACATACTTGCGAGCACGCGAAGGGGGGTCTTCAAAAATTTTGAAATTAGACCCCCTCAGATGCGTTTTCTGCGCGAGCAGGGGGGGTCCGGACCCCCTGGACCCCCCCCCCTGTACACGCCCCTGACCTGACCTCATCTGACCCTGGTCTCCGCTTATAGGGGCCTATATTACACGTATATACATGATATATGTACCGGCCAAAAGACGGTATAAATTATTGAAAGATTTTGGTTACGGAAAATTTATGGCCTGAAAAAAGTGCCGCGGCGGTCGCCGCGGCTGCCGCGGCAGTTCCGACGCCCTTGTCCATAATATACCATTCCAGGAATATTAGTTTGATTCCAAGTTATATGATCTGACACTATAACATTAATTGTGATGGTTATCAACTTATCATGATCTCACTTTTGCGCGAGTTTACTTTTACATTGTACCAATCAATCTTATTATCTATCTTCAACAAAATAGAATCATAGTGCTTTAAAATCAATTTAGACGCGGTGTTGTTGACAATACTATTTCTTCTGCAGCTCTACAACGACGCCTAACCCGACCATGCTGTGTGAATTTTTTGTGTGTGAAATTTTATAATTTTTTTTTGGATTTTGATTTTGATTGGGCGTCCTAGGGCCCCCAGGACCTCCCCTGGCTATGCGCTTGACCCTGGGTACGGTCCGGTATACCGGAACGTACCCTCCAGTAACTATCTGATATGGTTAGGGTTAGGGAGTAGGCGTAGGCGACTTTCCTAGACTCGTTAGTGGAGTAGGCGAGGTACGGTCCAGCATATTAGATAGTACCAAGGTACGGTCCGGCATATTAGATAGTACCAGGGTACGTTCCGGCAGTACCCTGGGGGACATAGACCCTCTCAGCATAAGTCGTCTACATCACTGTTGTTATTTCGTAGGATGTATTATATGTTATGATCTGATATATGGGTGTTTTATTATATTTGAATTTGAAATAAAGAGGAGGAATGTGTTTATATATATTTATATATGTATATGTGTCGTTCATTCTAATAAATTATTGTCAAATGATCACCCCGTGGTATATATATATATATATAACAAAAATATCCGCATAGTTTTTTAAAAATGGCTTGGACATGAGAGAATAGGTAAACATGGATGAACCAAATGTTATTGTTTAGTAACACAGGCGTTATAATCGTCCACATGTCGATATTTGTCCTACTCTCAGTCTCTCTGTGTACAGTGACACGTCTTATTCGCGCGTTCTATAACCAGAATAGGGTAATTCGATAGCTGATCACGGACCATGTGGCCAGCATACTAACGAATACATGTATTCGTTCGTCTTGCGACCTTATCGTATTTCACGCCGCTAGATGGCGCCATGTAAAAGTCATGAGTGAAGGAAATCGCCATGGCCGACGGCAGGGTGGGACAAATGGTTGAGAAACGTGGGGATGAAACCGCGATGCCAGATCCTGCCGAAGCCCAATGTAACTTCTCAACCACGGAGCAAAACTGCAACGTTAAAAGCACGAGGCAGAGACCGAAGGAACGGCTGTCCGAGGACCAGGTATGCTTACATAGAGCCACAACCTCGAAAGTACGGATTCTCGAACTGTACAAAAACAACATCATGTCAACATTGGTATTCGCATAGCTCAAAACATCTAAACCGGACCTTGGTGTGTTTTCATCTATTAGCACGTACAGCTTACGTGAACCTGGTAATTAAGATATGACCGATTTGGAAATAATAGTAATATTAATACTAGTAAGATTCCGTGTTCATGCAACGTGATGATACGTCACGTGAATTCGTTGCCGGTGAATCATGTGATGTTCGTGTTTACAATATTCACACGCAGTATGCCAGTATTGCGTGTCGCTCCCATGTGACTCCGACGCACTAACCTTAGGTACACATAGCGTAGATATGTCGTGGTTAGATCTAAGTGGTGTATAGACAAGTTTTTCTCAATGGTGAGTTATTGACTGCATGTGACACTACAATTTCAGCATTTGTTTATAGTTGTGATCATAACGAATTACTAATAGTAATACCAGCTTGCCTATTAGTATTACTAGTATTACGATATGTCAATACAATAATACGCCTGACACCATCCATTGAAAAATCATTGGTGCAAATCCACGTTAGGCACCTTAGGCTTAGGTATCACGAAGTGATGCACAGATTTCTGTGTATCATCAACTGATGCACAGACTTTCCGTATATCAAGGAATAATGCAAAAACCCTAACCCTAACTCTAAGTCATAGAGTAATAGTAATAACCTAGGTATCAACGAAGTGTGTAGCGTTAGGGTAGGGTTTTTGCATCATTACCTTGATAACAAAAGCTCGTGCATCAGCTGAGATTACATCAGAAATCTGGCATCACTTCGTGATTCTAAAGGGCCCTAACGTGATTGCACAATGATTTTTCAATGATGGTGTCACGGCGTATTATTATTGACCATCGTGTAATACTATAATACCTATATCTCAAAGAAATTAATCTAAAATATTCGATTTATTGTTTTTGCAATTAACGTTAGACATTATAAATGTGTAGTATATCCAGCCTTGATAGAAATTTAAACATAAGATCAGTGATACGCTGTTTTTCCCACAGCCAACGCAAAGATAAACTCCAAATGCAACCCCACCCCACCCCATTGGTGGGCACGGTGAAAAATCTTGGAGGATATAGTTAAACAGACCTTTGCTCTCGATTTGCTCGATACAATCATGCTACCCAACACAAAAGTAGAACCTACTCTACATACATCCCTGCACCCTAGCTTTTGTGTTGGGTTACGGTACGTAAAAACCCGCGTATAAGACAAATTTTCCAATAGCCCAAATCTCTTATATAAAATGCTTACTGAAAAATTCGAGGCTCAAAAGTTCTTAAATAGGTCTTAATGTTTCTACTTTACTATTATAAGCTTATACTGGTGATCAAATGTGATAAAATTTTCTTACAAGGACTGCAGATTTTTGCTAATTAATACCATGACTGGGCTACAGTGTAAGTTTCATGCGTACCGATACTGTAGATACAGTATGTATCCAAGGAACACAAACCAACAGCAAAAATGCGTCGCCAAATCAGCAGGTGCTGCACATTCATCGGTATGTTTGAGCGCCTGCACGTCTTTTTTATTTTACCTGTGTTTCTTTTTAAGTCTTCATCTGCATGGAAAATTAAGAACCTACTTTAAAATCTTAGCCTAAAACAGGTTCTTATGTAAAGGGGTCTAAATGGGAAATTTTAGCCTAACAGGTTCTTAAAATCTATGTTCTTATACGCGGGTTTTTACTGTATTGCGTCTATCTACCGAAGTGCTATTTCCATGGTGGTACTATGTGTGTACCTTGTCTTAAAATTCATCATCAGTTCATTTCAGATTTTAGCAGCATTGAGTTACAAATGGTTGCAAATGTCGTTGGCAAATGGTGCCAAAGAAAATAGCGTATTACTCGATAAATAAACAGTACTCAGTAGGGCCCTGTTAGTGCAAGCAAACCAGAGGTTTATTGATTCAATTGGGCTATTACGTGTTACGCTCGCTCGCTGTGGTGATGTTTGGAAACCAAACAATCATGACTTTTTGCCTGGCAAGAGTTTGAAATAATATTTTGATTTATGATCATTTTTTAGAGCTCATCGTAACTGTCCTGCTTAGACCTATAGTTTAGGTGCCGCGATTAGATACGTTGATTCTACTTCTAGGCTAGGGCCGATGTTTATGTTAGGAGTAGCAGTGAGTGCTGTTATGGAATTCCCATTATTACTATTAGCCTATCTGAAATTATAGACACAGTCACTAGGGTTCAAAAAACTCGATTCACCTAGTAAGTTTATTTGCACTTGTGCAGGCATCATAAGTGTACGGTTTTTTTCATCGTTTATCCATGGCACGGTTTTTTACGCGATGTACACCATCACAACAATACAAATTACCTTTCTATCATGTATTCTACTATCTACTATATATTTCTACTGTTCACACACTCTCTCGAAATCAACACCTTCATCTTTTCTAAAAGCAATATTATTTACATGGTGGATAAACCCTTAAACAAGGGTAATGACACAACCTATTGTACGATCTGGTATATATTTTGGCACACAGATTTTTTTTTGCCAAATCTTGGTACTGTATTCAAAAAGTTTTTCTACACCTTCTACCCACCCCCCCTCCGCTAAAGTCTGGAACGATTTTAAACTGCACGCTGGCACACTCGTATCTGCGACTGCTGCCACACGAATGTGCCGGGCTTTAACTAGAAAATCTTTATCTCTCTATCTCAATTCATCTTCTCCTTCCTCCCCCCTCCCCCAATTCTCCCTCCATCTCTCCATCTCTCTCTTTCTCTCTCTCTCTCTCTCTCTCTCTCTCTCTCTCTCTCTCTCTCTCTC